TGAATTGAATGAATGAATGAGTGAAAAATTAAATATGAATGAATGAGTGAGTCAGTGAATGAATGAACAAATGAACAAATGAACTAATTGAAAAACAGACAAACAAATGAATAAATGAATGAAAGAAAGAACGAACGAACGAACGAAAGAACGAACGAACAAACAAAAAAACGAACGAACGAATGAATGATTTATCAAGAGAAAAAAAACTTTCTAAATTTTTATTTCAATTCCTCATTCATATTTTTCGACTTAATTACATATCAGAGTGTAAATAAATAAGATGTGAAATATATAATGTACGATCCCCTCATACTCTTTGATCAACAAGTGCTTGAGAGTGAAAAAATATATTTAAAATCGGTTAAAGTACCTAGTGTCACAATATATGCTGTATGACGAGCGAATTATCGCGTTAATCAGTTTATCGTCAAAAGATTTCGGCCATAATATTTTAAACAAAGTTAAACTAAAATTGTTATAGAAACCAACAAGCGATATTTCAAGTGAATTAATAATCAACGAACAGTTATTATAAACTGAATTTAAGTTTAATTTCAAATTTTATATTTCTGGCGTTTGTATTCACGTGATGAAGCTAGGTTGGTTGGTTTCGTGGCAAAATGTAAGCCCTAAAATTTTGATTTTGTTTTTTTGGAGAATGGCGATGCCTGGCAGCAACTTGTCGAACAACTGTGACACTGGACGTACATTTTCTGTATTAAGATCGGCAAATATGCAACAACAGTCTGAAGATGAACAAATCTTCAACCAGTCGACAACCAACGACAGCAGTTTGTTATGCCTGTCCATCCGTGTACCTGGCGAGAGGAATCACAGTTCGAAACAACATGTTTGTTTGTTTGGCGATAACTGCATAGTGGACATAGAAATGTTGTTGACGTACCACTTTCAAATAAGTTTGCATTAATGGGAAGCTGCTGTATTAAATATTTTCTAGTAAACTCATAGAGTACTCCCGGTGATCATTTGACGATCTTTAACTAGCGCAAAGTTTGTGATTGTTTGTGATATTTTGATAGATGTCATACAATGTAAGTTAGATTATTTTCAAACAATCAAAACTACTACTACTACTACTACTATTGTTATTTATATTATTATTATTATTACTCATATTGCAACTGCAACTACTACTACTAATGCTACTACAACTATCTACTGCTACTACTACTACTACTACTACTTCTACTTCTACTATTACTACTGCTACTACAAATAATATAGTACACTGTTTACAATTTGCTAATACTACTACTACTAAAGCCACAACTTTATAGTAATAATTTTTTTATACCGATTTAACAGATGTTTTGGATTTAAATGAGACTATTTTCCAACGAAGCAAAAAGCAAGTACTAATACCACTACTACTACCACTACTACCACTACTACTACCACTACTACCACTACTACTACCACTACTACTACCACTACTACCACTACTACTACCACTACTACCACTACTACTACCACTACTACCACTACTACTACCACTACTACCACTACTACTACCACTACTACCACTATTACTACCAATACTACTGCTAATACCACCACCACTACTACTACTGCATCATTTCTTCCACCACCTTCATCATCACCTCCACCCCCATCATCATCACCTCCACCGCCATCATCACCATCACTACTGCCACCACCATCATCATCATAACTTACTAACCGCCAGCTGAAGCGAAAGCCCCAAGGATCTTAACTCTAATTTTCAAATGCATTTTCACACGAGAGTTTTATGAAGATGAAGAGATAAATGTCAACAGTGATGATGGCGGTACTGGTTGTAATGACGATGATTAAACTGAGTGTGATGAAGATGATGGTGATGGATGGTGACGATGATGATAAAAACAAACACAGTAACTAATTAAAAATGATAAAATGAAGAGGAAAAAACGAAAATATTTCTGTACGGTCACACGCGCACACACGCACGCACGCATACACACACGTACACACACACAAACACACACACACAGACACACGTCTACGTTGATTAGGCTATATTGATTTTAAACTACAAATTTATAACAGATTTTCTTGTCATAAATAACGTAAAAAACACAACAAATTATGAAAATTAATCGAACGAAAGAACAAACAAGCTAACAAACAAGCAAGCACACACATACATTTATATATATATATATTAAAGATACATATATATATAGAGAGAGATAGAGAGAAAGAGATAGAGAGAGAGAGAGAGAGAGAAATATAGAGAAAAAAAAAGTGAAAGAAAAAAGAGTTAATAATAATCGTTATTTGCCAACGCGAGTAACAACCTCATCTGCATCAGTTTTGGATAATATTCTAACTAATCAAAATGGTTTTCATCAGGCTGGAGTTGTAATTGCAGATTTGTCTGCCATTATCCCGTTTTTTGTTTAACGAACAATATGGAAGTTCAAAAAGTTAATTCAAGTTCGAATCGAAATAATGTACCCAAATTGAACGTAAATAAAATAAAGACAATCCTAAACAACACCAACTGGGATTTCATTTTGAATGATGGTGATGTGAATCGTTGTGTGCAAAAATTTCTTGATTATTTTCGAAGGACGGTGGATGATTGTTGTAAGTTTTTGCCACCTGTGAGTTCTAAATTTAAAAAAAGCTGGATGAATGCGGATCTTCTTAAGCTCTGCAAAGAAAAAAATAAGCATTATTTAAAACTCTTTAAAGATCCATCTCCGAATAATTTATTTGTGTATAAATGCCTTAGAAATAGTTTTACAAAAGCTAAACGTAATGCAGAAAAACAATTTTACGACAAACTTTTTAAATTAAATAATAATAATATAAAGGCAAAATGGCGCTTGATAAATGAAGTGATGAATGTTAAAAAGCAGACCACTCGAATTGACCATTTGAAGTTAAATGATTGCACAATCTCCGATAAAAAAGAGATTTGTAACACACTCAACCGAAATTTTATTGATACGATAAATTCACTCCAAGGCGGATTTAACCAGAATTTGCAGCATGAAATGTTTTCAGATCAGAATATCAACACATTCTACTTAGATGAAATCAATACTGCTGAGTTGTTCAGCATTGTCAATTCCTTCAAACCTAACAAATCCACGTCTGATGATGGTTTCAATATGTTTATGGTCAAACTGTTTGTGGACGAAATCATTGTTCCACTAAAGCACATATGCAACCTGTCTCTAAAATCGGCAACTTTTCCTGATCGGTTCAAATTAGCCAAAGTTATTCCAATACATAAAAAGGGAGATAAAGGAGATGCTGGCAACTACAGACCAATTTCTTTGTTGTCTCCATTTTCTAAGATTCTCGAAAAAATAATGAGTGTTAGAATGATGACCTTTCTCAACCGCTTTAATATCTTATCCAGCAATCAGTACGGGTTTAGAAACGCTCACTCGACAGAGTTGGCAATTGTTGAGCTTGCCCATCGTATACTAATGAATATGAATGATAGATACGTTACGATGGGCATTTTCATCGATCTGTCGAAAGCTTTTGATCTGATCAATCACTCGTTGCTTCTCAAAAAGTTAAATTTTTATGGTTTTCGTGGAAAAATCAATCAATGGTTCAGGAGTTATCTGGAAAATAGACTGCAATATGTTTGGCTGGAAAATCATGTCTCGGATGTCTTGCCTTTGAACTGCGGAGTCCCACAGGGTTCCATACTCGGTCCATTACTTTTTATCATTTTTGTTAACGATTTACCAAATGTTTCATCTGCTTTTCGCTGTATTTTGTATGCTGATGATACTAACATATTTTATTCATCGAAAAATCTTATGAATGAAAAATTACTTATAAATAGTGAAATGATTAAATTTGAACATTGGTTTAATATAAATAAATTATTAATTAACACAAGTAAATGCTCTTATACTATTATGGGTCCTAAGATTGTAACTAACACTATTCCTGATTTAAATATTAACATATGTAACCACGCAATAAAAAAACTTGATTCGATAAAATTTTTAGGTGTTTATTTACAAAGTAACTTATTGTGGAATGATCACATATTATATATCACTTGTAAAACCAATCGATTTCTTTATATAATTAACAGGATTAAAAATAAACTTAATAAAAATACACTTGTTATTCTATATAATAGTTTCATTCTACCTTATTTATCTTACTGCAATATCATTTGGGGTAATAGCCCGTCGTATATTGTTAATCATTTATTTATTATGCAAAAATGGTTCATTAAAATATATTATAATTTGACCTTAATGTCTCATGTTGATCATTTGTTTTTAAAATTAGACATTTTAACAGTTAAACAATTGAACATTTATTATTCATCGATCTTTATGTTTAAATTGATTAACAACTTATTACCTAATTATTTTGTTAAATGTTTTCATCTAAGATCTAACATTCATTCTTTATCGACTAGGCAAAATAATATTTTTTACATATACCCAAATAGGTTAAATATTTACCAACATAGTATATTTGTAATTGGCCCAAGTATATGGGATGGAATTCTGCCAGAGGACATTAAAATTATATTTAATTTGAAGTCATTTAAAAAGTTTTTGAAGAAATTTTTGATAAACTATGATCCACCATGAGGACTATTATTTTAATTAATGGACCTGTAACATTGTAACATTTATCTATCAAACTTGCATTTAATTTCTTTTCTGTTGTTTAACTAATTACAAATAGTATTAGATATTATTTTGTTTTCGTGGGCTTGTTACATTGGTTTATGTATGTAATCCATCAAATTTACATTTATCTTTCATTTATGTTTAATTAATAAAAGTATATAAATTTTAGTTAACTGTTCAGTGATCACGGTGGCCTTCACAAGATTATTTTATCTTATGTGGTCTCATTTATTTTCTTTTAAATTTTTCTTTCAGTTGGTTCAAATAAAGTATTTTCGTTCGTTCGTTCGTTATAAATATACATATACATATATATATATATATATATATATATATATATATATATATATATATATATATATATATAGAGAGAGAGAGAGAAAGAGAGAGAGAGAGAGAGAGAGAGAGAGAGAGTTAAGAGAAAAAATAATATTACAAACTATAAATATATTAACATCAATGTAAAAAAATGTATAACAACGATAATAATAATAAAAATAACAACAATAATAATAATAATTATGAGAACTTTTTTATTCAAAGCCAGAGTAATAAATAATTAAAACCATGAAATGGTAAAATAATAAAATGTCAATATAAAACCGCTTTGCTCAATTCAAAATAAAAGTACATTATTTAAAAATACATTAAAGTGCCTGAAGCATAATAATGATAATAATAATAATGATAATAATAATAATGATAATAATAAGAATAATAATAATAATAGTAATAATAATAATAATAATAATAGTAATAATAATAATAATAATAATAATAATAATAATAGTAATAGTAATAGTAATAATAATAATAGTAATAATAATAATAATAATAATAATAATAATAATAATAATATATTAGCGAGTGAGGCGGTGGTGTGGATTTTTGAAGAATTCAAACATTAAAATTTCACGTTTAATAAAATGACACTTAGTTCCTGGTGGAAAGTGATAATTTGTCTAGGTGAGAATAACTCTGCCAACGGAGAAACCCCTCTGAAAGGAGTGTTGGATGTTCTTCTTCGTGCAACTGAACCATTCAACGATCGAAACATTCCTCTCACTTCTCACTTGATCCATATCTTGCTTTCGCTTTTGCTCAATCTGAAATTTAGGAGATTGTAAAATATTTAAAGGACTTTCAACTGCAAAATATTCAATAAATTCCAATATTATTTTTTGCGGCGCCTCGAGCCTGGCTCTGTTGATTTGGTAAATGAGTTCGATTGCAAGGAAATCCCCACCAGCCATATGCTGTTTGTTGTTGTTAGTAAATTTGAAAAACTAAGAAATAATTTTTTTAAAAAGAATAAAAAAATATATAGTGAACAGCGACGGATCCAGGGAGGGTGCGGAGGAAGATGCCTGCCCCCCGACCAGATCACAGAAGAAGAAAGTATTGAAGATTCTGTGCGAAACAGCGATACAACAAACAAAGATTAGCTCAAAAGAGGTCATAAAATTTACAATTTTGAAAATCATTCCGCCGCGGAACGAAAATAAACGGATTTATTATCAATAAATTCTACCAAGAAAATGTTTGCCTAAGGAAAGGAACAATTTTTAAAATAATCAGTCACAAAAAGAGTTGAATAACTAAAAAAAATTAATTTAAATAAATAATTATCAAAAGGAGAAACCACCTCGTCGGCCCTCTCTTTCGATATGAGGAGTTCCTGCCAGGCCCTCCCGATGGCCTTACCCCAGTCAGTTGGATAATCATCAAAAATTATTAGGTTGTCTTCGTTTGAATGTCTTGCAAAGTTTAACAAGTCAGCTCTGCGTCAGTTGTTATGAAGGTTAAAAATTAATGATTGAAGGTTAAAGGTTAAGAGTTGAAGAAGTCAATATCTCTTGTGCCCTTGCTTTGGAGATATCAACGACAAATGCACACCACCTAACGCATAAGAATAAGTTTTGTTATCTTTTCTTCAAAATGACAATAATGACTTTTGAGGAAACTGAAAATCTACTATTGTTCGAAATAATATCTGGTCTGGAAAATTAACTTGTCTTGTTTTCGAACGAGTGCTTGTTGAGTTGTTTCTTATGCTGCTGCATAAGTATTTTATTTGCCCCCTTGAGAGCTTGGCCTAGTTGCGCCACTGCCTTATTTATCACAGTCAATTTAATAGTTGTCATCGTTAACGTTCATATCACTTGAGCAATTGAACATATTATTTTATAATTCTTCCTAAAACAACATTCATTCACCATCAGCGTTAAACATTATGCTCCACAATTCTTTCTAATGCTTTTCAGAGCTGTCAACGAGAAACACACAGCGCGTGTAAAGACAGGCGAATCAATGTATTAAACAATTTTACATCAGTGCCAGACACCATCACCTTTTTCTATTTTAAATTTTTCCAACAAACCTGGCTATGGGATAAGTGTGACCTCCATCGACAAACATCAAATCACACAATGGCAATTTACCTTCAGATATTGCCTTAGGCACTTCAACTGTTGAGTCACCAAACCTTTCAATGATTAACATTTTCAATATAAAGCCAATGAGATTTGAAATAAAAATGTTATACATAATATATCTGTAAACTTGTAAACTTGTACACCATGAATCTGTAAACTTGTAACGCCTTTTCAAAAACGTCCCAAAGTGGCTAGCAATCAGTCTACGTGCATACAAATTAAAATTATTAAAAATTATTCACGTTGAAAATAGCTGACTAAAAAATGGGTGTTTAACCGTTTCCAATGACCATTCTCAATTTTCATTTTCAGTTTATAAAATTTACAATTCGGTAATACACTTTTTCTCAAAATTAATCACAAACTGTAACGAAATAAGACATAGAAACCGTTTGAGTCGAAGATATAATTGTAAAAATATTAACAGAAAGAAGCGTTAAACAAACAAAAACAGCCACCTCACGGTCAACCTCTCTCCTTGCAAGCCTTTCAAGTTCAAGAGACCTGGCAGCAGTTCGGCCATCTTGCGGGCGTATTTATGACTGCCCAGGTCGAAAGAGTACACGCTGGCTTTGAGGTTTGAAGTCAGAAAGTTGAAGCTGGAATGTCCGTAGTTGAATCCAGTCTCGCAGATGGTTCTAATGGAAGGTGTGGACGCCAGGTAGTGCATGACCATCCTTTGTTCTGGCACTTGCCCGCTGTGTCCTTCACTCTCACTCAAGCTTCCTTTTGCTGTATTGCAGCTATTAAATTTTTATAAATAAAAAAACTTGTTTAATTAAATAAGCAATAAACATGAGAAATTGTATACATCAATTTGCAGTATAATGAGACGGAACTAAATTTTTTTTTTAATTTTTTCACGTTAATGTGTTGGATGGGCATATCTGCCATACACATTCAACTGCACTCTCCACCCTTCAGCTAAATATACAAGTAGATGTGTAGTGAAACTTGCTTTGAACCTCGCTAGTTAGAATAAAACAAGATAGTTGCAGAAAATCATTAACAGATCTTGCTAGAGAATGATTTGGAGACAATAAATAATGTTGAAACAAAAAGGACAATCTTTACAATACCTGGCAGATGTTTTAAAAACCAACGTCATTAAAATTCTTGCGTCAAAAAGAATATTAAACGAATTATTTTACATTTTAGATTCAACCGATCAAGACTGGTTGAGCTTCATCACTACGCTTAGTACGGCGCCTTCTAATAGTGTCAGCAGTATTAAAATGTGAAGTGCAATTCATTTAACAAAATTGCACGCAAAAATGTTCACTAACCTCTCTTGGAATGCTGGCAGCAGTTCATAGTAAATGTTTGACATGTTGTAAGCTGTCCAGTCGTCCACTAGGTCTTCACAGTACACTGCTGACCTGAATCAGTTGCAATACAAAAAAAATACAGAATTGATGCAAAGAGTAAGGTTGAAAAATAACATCAGACAATATCAATCAGTCAGTCAGTCAGTCAGTCGGTCGGTCGGTCAAACATACTGTCTGTCCGAAACTCAAAAAGACCATCACACGCCTATGATGCGGTGCTTGCGCGTGCATACGTAATGTGTATGAGAGTCATGTGGTGTTGATAGTGCACAGCCTTTGTGGCACGATAATTTAGTCACAAGTATAGAGTAACATGAAAGCAGTTCTTCATTTGACAAAGCTGCAGTATAAAGAATGGAAAAACAGCACAAGATCTGTATTGCACATGCAATCATTATAATACCTGTCACAGAGAAAATGGAGATGGAGAAATAATTTCAATCAGTAGCTGTTAAATTTATTATTAAGCTGAACTTAAACAAAAGTCATGAATATTTTAAAATGAATTTTCAAAAGTGTCTGTCACTAACTGTTTCAATTTCGAGATTCGAAAGCTGCTTGTATCACTAACAATGTGAGAAGACTTTTCACTGAAAGTTTCAAAGATGTTGGGTGTGGCGAAGAAGTTCAATTTGAGAACTGACTTGTGACCGGATGCGAAGAAAAATATCAGCAGAGACGCCATAGTCACGCCGATGTAGAGTGACCAACGTTCTCTCTTCATTGACCTTCCAATAAATTATTTATTAATTAATTAATAATAATAATAATAAATAATAATATTAATTATAATTAATAATAATATTGTCACGTAATATAGTGCTCTGGCAAGCGGCTGAGTCGTCCTCGAAACGATATTCCCAGTCAAACGTAAACGTTTAAAAGGCATAGTTAATTTAATACAAAAAGATTTCAATGATGACTTGAAGGACTGAATAGAACTGCAATTTCTGATGTCTGGTTAAATTAAACCGCCTTCTATTAATTATTCTTTCACAAGCGCATTTGAAATGAGTTTGATCCCGTTAGAACATTCTCTCCTTTGTAGAATTTTCGTTCTAAGTGACTCGTTTCGCGCAAGTTTCGCTTCGTTTTAAACTAGAAAACAATGGCACACACATCTTTTACTTAGATCGGACCTCGATATAACGAAACTGATTCGACATAGAAACAAAAGTTAATCACGTCCAACCACATAGTTGTTGAAATCAATTAAAATCTATTGTAACGGAAAATAAAACGTAAAGATAGGTACATAATCTCCATAGACCGATCATCGACGTCTATGACGCTATACAAACAAAAAACTGACAGCGGCAAAAATATATATATCGAAGGTACTTAAGCAAAATTAAATTTAAAAAACAAACATCAATTTTGAGATGAATCAGAGTTTTTGAAGAAGAAAAATAAAGATAACATTGATGAAATCAAACGAATGACGCAAGTTGGCGAGCGAAATTCATCTGACGAACTATTCATTTACGTTTTTTTTGAGAAAATTTATTATAGGTCTAAAATAAACCATCTCCATGTATAAATATACATATAAATATTATATATTATACATTATATATATATATATATATATATATATATATATATATAGAATAAACATATATAGGAAATTTACAATATATAACATTGAGCGCCGATAATAAGATGCCAACAAGATTGATCCTCTAATTCTATAGAGCAATATTAGTGATTATGTGCATATTAATATTTGCATGCGTGTGTATATGTTTGGATGGATGGATGGATGTATGGATGGATGGTTGGTTGGATGGATGGATGGATAGATGGACGAGTGTAGGATGCATATGTATGTTTGTATGGATAGATGTATGGATGGATGGATGGTTGGATTGATGGATGGATAAATGGATGGATGAATGGATGGATGTATAGTGCATATTTTAAATTTGAAAATTTTTACATAGTCATATAATGTTCAAATTACATTTTTTACACTATTTTTCAATGTCAGAAAAGTTTATAGGTTTAAATACGTTCAATCACTTTATTCCTTATTGTCTTGTCAGTGCTGACTGGTTGACATTTATGGTACATGGACCAGTTGAGAGAGAGTCGGGTTTCAGGCACTCTTTCCTTGCACGCACATCGCCTCCATGTTGATTTGTAATTTATTTTTTGTCTTTTGCGTGAATAATGCTGTTAAAAAAAGAATAGCATTGATGAACAATTGTTTAAAATTTTATTATAGAGGTATAATTAATTAGTTATTAATTAATTAATTCCTAATTAATTACCTTAGGCCAAGGTATACCTAAGTTGTACAAAATTTTGAACTATAGTGCGTTATTACGATATAATAATAATAATAACTCTTATTTTTCAGAAAAAACATGTCACTAATTTGCCAAGAAAAATAAAATCATTTTATAGAGTGAGCTCGAATTGATTAAAATAAATTTGGAAATAAATTAAAATTAGCAAAAATTTTGTTTTCAAAGTGATTAAAACTAATTATTGATGGAATTTCAATCACAAAAGATAGAGCGTGGCAAATGTATTTGACTGATTTAATGGCAAAGATGGCCGAACCAAATATGGGATGGAGAGCAATTTATAATGTTTGAAAAGTTCTAAAGCAGAAATTTCAATAATAATAATTAGTCTGAACGCACTGGCTCTATAAAAAAAAGTTATCAAATCTGTCCACAATGAGATTAGTAACTTGTAAGACAGAATATCAAAGGTAACAATTTTTTCTGACAAAACCTAAAATTATTTATACTGTAGTTGACAGTTAACATTGACATTTTCTCAGTAAAAATTTTTTGTCAAAAATGGCATAGATGGATTTAGTATTTTGTCCTAGGTCCGGCTGGCCATGGTCCTACTCTACCTACCATATAAAAATTATCGTTACTCCCATATTAAGTTTCTATATTATTCTTTCTCTCTCTTTCTCATTTTTATTAAGTGAATTCAATCAATCAATCATTCAATCAATCAATTAGTTTGTAAAACGCTCTTTCCGCGATGTTCAACAGCGCTTCTCAAAGAATTTTGCAAATAGATGGGTCTTGAGATTCGCTCTGAACTTCGTTAAGTAGTCAGAGAAGGAGGTAGAGAGTTCCTGAGAGAAGAGCCAGAAAAAGCCAATGCAGATTTAGCAAAAGAGTGTTCAACACGAGTTAAGAAGTGAGAACAAGAAGACGATCGTAAACCTACCTGCTCTAAATCCCGCCCTGATATTTAGCATTGAGGTCTTGATCAAATTCTTGTTGCTACGGTTCAATTCCTACCGTAAAACTTGTTGTCGCGCGTTTTTCGCCAGCTGTCTTGTTGGTAGGAGTCAAAATTTTTTGATGGGTCCGGAAGTGGAGTTGGATATTTTTCGCCCAACTCTGACACTCCGATTTTAAACGTAAACCAAAAAAAACATCGCCTACCTTTTTCAATTGAAACTTCTTCGTAATCAACATCAGCAATAATAAAAAGAATAATAAAAACAGTAATAATTATGATAACACCAATAATAATGATATTAATAATCGAAATAATGAAACAAAGAACACAAATAAGTGGTAAAAAAAATATTGCCTGAAGCAACTGAATGAATACTAAGCATGAAATGCCGAGAGACGGTTAACATTATAAATGTAATATATACAAGACAGACAATACAATAACAACAACAACAACAACATTAATAATAATAATAACACTTAACAACAACAACAGTAATAACAATACAAATAATAACAGTAGTGACGATTACAAACAGAAATCAGCCTACATCCAATTCAACTCAAAAATGTAATCAATCGATCGAAATAAATATCCTGGAGAAAAAATTATTTTTTTTATTTTCTCAGTTATTCACTGGTGATTGATGATAATTATTTAATCGTAAAAAAAACTAATGATTCGTAGACGTTAACAAAACAAAAAAAAAACATAGAGTAAAAATATCAACTAGAAAACCTGTCAATAAATCAATCAATCGATTGATCAATCGATCGATCAATCATTTGATCAATCATTCAATCAATCAATCATTAAATCAATCATTCAATCAATCAATCATTTGATCAACCAATCGACCAGTACATCAGTCGGCTTAACAGCCACACAAGCGTACAGATACCATGCGACTACCAAGCCTACGAAAGCAGCTGAGAAACAAATAAAGCTCATATTATCACTGTAAATTTCAATCAATCAATCAAACAACCAACCGACCAACCATTCAACCAACCCATCCATCCATCAACCCATCCATCAATCAATCTACGCATCATTATCATGAACATAAAGCAGCTCCGATTTGCCAAATCCAAGCTCATCAAACGTGGGACACTCGTCTATTAAATTTAGATCGCTACCACCGGCCACACCAACACTACCCCCGTTACCACCGCCACTACTACTACTAGGACAACCAGCAGTATCCTCCGAAGAGGTGGTCGTGGTGGTAGCGATGAAAGCGTTCAGTCGCTTGCGGCATGGCAGGGTGATCCTTGGGTGGGAGCGGATGATCTCGAAGTCATCCGGGGCGCTCTCGTGTACGAAGAGGAAGTCGTGCAGGTGCTGGGGGAGGTGGATGGATGAATGGGTGGGTAGATGAATGGATGGGTAGATGGATGTATCAATCAACCATCTATCAATTAAACAAACACAATCAATCAATCAACTAACTAACGTACTAATCAATCAACTAACTAACTAATCAATCAGTCAATCAGTCAATCAATCAACCAATTAATCAGTCAATCAATCAACCAATCAACCAAAAAAAAATAAACAAATTAAATGAACGAAAGAATGAGTTATGAATCATCACAATCATCTCAGTAATTATCATCATCATTATCATCATCAAGATCATCATCAACAACGACAACATCATCATTATCACCTGTATTGATTCGTGTCTGTCGAACCTTCTCTCAAGCCTCATTCCATTTGGAAGCTTCAGAAGGACTCTACATCACGTGACGACGGTGATGATGATGATGATGATGATGATGAGTGATGATGAGTGATGATGATCATCATCGTCGTCCCTCCCAATCGTCATCCTCAAAACCATCACCATAATCTCACCACTATTATCATCATCATGTATTTCCATAGCTATCCGCATCATATCCATTATCATCGAAAACATCATCATCATAATCACCGCCATTATCATCATCAGGATGAAACCATCATCATCATCATCATCACATGAAACCATCACGCCATCATCATCATTATGAAACCATCATCATCATCATCATTAGCCCCGAAAACAGCATCATCACCACCACCACC